ACGAGAACCACAATATGGGTGGCAATAAGTAATCCACATATGACCTTTTGTATCATACCTTATCACGGATATACCTTAGAATATATCTTAGGGCATATCCGTGACCGAGATAACTGATTCAGACGTTATAAGAAATAAGTAACAGACAAACTAATAAATCATTTTTCATATAACTAAATAATTTTCTCGACGACGCGACGCGACAATATAATAACAATTAATTATTATGAGAATACTTAAGTTGTATTGATACCGTACTATCTTTGCAGACAAAACAATTCATTATAATAGCCACAATATTTATAAATAAATTTTTTATATACTAAGTATTTGTCCAGTCACAACAGTCCCCCCCAACGTGCGTTCACCTTGACGCGGTGGGGGGGGGCTCAGTAGTGCCCGGCAATACAGCCGGGCGCGAAGCCAAGACACGCACAGGGAGGTGGCCCACTTCGGTGGGCGGTGGGAGGTGGCCCTCTTCGGTGGGCGGTGTACCATGCGCGTTGCTCCTGGTACTTCTCTGATAGCAGAGTGGACCTTGGAGCACCCCCATGGTTGTGGTGGTCTGCTTCGGCAGACCTGCCGTCGGGGCGTCGTAGTTGAATGCGTAAGCGACCCTGCGATGCCCCATTAAGACGGGGGAAGGTTTTGTTGGGTTTTAATGGGTAGTACTGGCTTTATTACGCTGTTGAGTCCCACACCTCGTGCTTAAATGCATTTCCCAACGTTAAAAAAAAGTCACAACAGTACAACGTCACAAAGTCAAAAACTTTACCTCTTTATAATATTAGTATAGATACCTAGATATGCTAAGAATTTCTTTACAACATCCATTTTAAAGTTACATGAACTAAAAAGTCACTTGAAAGCAATAATTATTATTAATTATTCAACATTTAGTAGTATTTTGTTTAATATAGAACTAACGGTACTAGTAGCTTATTGGTAAAGCGCTCGCTTTGGGAACCAATTGAAGCACATTCAAACCCTACAAGTTCAAATCCTAGATCTTAAAGACTGGGACTATTTAATAAAAAAATATATAAAAATCAATATATAATAATAAACATTTTTATCGCCAAAAAACAGTTAATTAGTTAATTTTTAGTTAGTTAATTTTTTTAAAAGTCGGTCAAAAATCGGTTCTGAAAGACCTACAAAGAGTGTAACATAATAAAAAATGTTTCGAATCGTTTAAAAATTGATTTGGAAGTATCCATTGAGAAAATTGATTATAAAGCACTTTGTTACGAGTCCAGTCTAAACAGGGTTTTGCTGGATTGAAATATCATTAGCAATTTTATTGAATTTGGCTTTAAACAAATGGAATTGGTTTATTTAGCATAAACATTCTGGTTAAGCTTAGTGGCATTATAAAGCTTAAAACTAGCTTTCATTTGTAATTTTCTCACACTAAAGTGTTAAAAGTATAAAATACTAGCGACCCACACTGGCTCCGCTCGGATTCGTCTCTAGGTACGTACGGATTTCTTAGAGTTGAGATATTTTACCGTAGTAAAAAGTATCATATATGTTGACCCGGATAACCAGCTATCATCACACCAAATTTCATTAAAATCTGTCCAGTGGTTTTCTCGTGATACGTTCCCACACAGACAGACAGAATTCAAAAACTGTATATTTGGCCTCTGTATCGATAATAATGACTATTTCAATAAGATTTTTCAAAATATATTTAATGCACTGATTCGACTAAGTTACAAATTTATTATATGTATAGATATCCAACAAGTCACATCTGGGTTTAGTTCGCTCCTACAAAGTAAGTTCTAGTAGTGCAGATAAAATTATATTAGTCGACATCTTGAAATTAACTGGAAAGCCTATTGTGCCAAATCGTAACTTATTTATAGTTTAGCTGTCGTCAAATCGAAACGGAATACCAATAGTGCAAAGACACCCACCCCCGATTTTTTAATCGCGGTTTTAGTATTTTTGTATGAACAATATTATATAAATACATAGTAGCTGTATGATGATGTTCTCCTGACCGATTCCGGCCACGGCGGCCAATCTCATTGAGACTAGCCAACTGCGCAGGAGATATTATAGTGCACAAGTGTACGCGCAGACACAAGTGCACTCTTTATTCCTGTCACTCTCATACTCCGGTAGGACGACTGCTCGACACGACCAGTGAGAGTTAAGGCGCAGGACCGACGGCTTTACGTGCTCTCCGAGGTACGGGAGTAGCTGTATAACATAAAGCCAAAGGTTTTTTTTTAAGATTGAACACGGGTGTAGCCGCGGGTTCTGCTAGTATGCTTATAAAAAGAAAAAAAAATCGTAAAGCTTAAGTGCTTGACACATGGAACTTCAAAATAAACTAAAGTACTCTTCATATATTTATTAACCGACTTCCAAAAAGGAGGAGGTTATCAGTTCTTCGGAATCTCTTTTTTTCTTTTTTTATGTATGTTAACCGATTACTCGAAGACGCCTAAACCGATTTAGAAGTTTTTTTCTTGTTTCAAAGGGTATACTTACCAGGTGGTCCCATATAAATTATATCGAAATCGGTCGAGCGGTTTTTTAAAAAATCAACAATAATTATATTTTTTAAATAAATTGTTTAATCGAATATGTTATTAAAAAAACTTACTTCTTAAAAATTACCTGCTTATTTTGTCTACACTAAAAATGGAAAAATAAAAACTTAAAAAAAAACCGACTTCCAGACACTAAAATGTAAAAAATAACTAAACGGGGAAAACTAAAACAAAATACTAAACTAAAACATTTAGAATGGATACCTAATCAGATATTTTCGAAGTCGGTGCCGACAATATTTTAAGATATGAATATCTAATAGGTAAATATGTATTTTACGTATCGAAATATATTAGATTTGCTTTGCATTGGCTGGCATCGCATATCAAAACTTTAAAATTTAAACTTTATTTATTTTTTTCTTATTGAAAACACCAACATGTACTAATCTTTATACATAAACCTTAACTTTTAAGAGAGTCAAAATGTAGTTTAGTTCTAAAGCAGATCAAATTAGTAGTGAAGCAACGGCGGGCAGCATGTTTTAAGCAGACAAGGCCAGACTGTCTGACAGTAATACTATTAGTAAATCTAATCGTACTTGCGCTGTGAAAATATAGAAATATCATTATATATTATCTAATCACTATTTAAGTTTGTTTGGTGTGTATGTGTATAAATAAATAAATATGTCGGGACATTAACACACAGCACCATCTAGTTCCATGGTAAGCTACGGGGCTTGTGTTATGGATACCAGGTAGTTGATACACTACACATATATAACTTTAAATACATACATATTATAAATATAAACTCATGACTGAGTACAAACTTTCGTCCTTATAAATGAATGCCCGCAGCGAGACTCGAACCCGCGACCGCTGGCACAGCAAGTAGGGTCACACAAACTGAGCCAAACGTCTCGTCGATTATAAATTGAATTAAATTGTTTTGAAAATTATTATAAAATAACTCCAGCCCAATTTTCTTGAATTAAATTATGAAAGTAAAATGCACAGCATTCGCTATTTCCATTTCAATATTAGAATTTAAAATGTTTCCCTCAATAGGCAATCGCGTGACGGTAATGAAGTCGTTGAGATTTGCAAATCGTTTTGCTTAAGGTTAAGCGATTTGTGCCAATATTTAAACGTTGACTCTGTTACTTTCTTTTAAAACCTAGAATGAAATTAGTTTGATTATAAAGCTTTAAAAGCTTTTGTAAGTTATTTTTATACTTATTTTTATACGATTGGGTTCGTCCCTAGCTTGATTTCCCATAAAAAGTTTCATTCCCATTGTCACCCCCTTAAGGAATGATTTCCGGGATAAAAACTACCCCATGTCCTTGCCAGGGTCTCACAATATTTTTCACCAAATTTCATCTAATCAACCGAGTAGTTTCGGAACTTATTCGATACAAACAAACAGAGAAACAAAGGAAAAAAACTTTCCTCTTTATATTATTAAGTATAAATATAAGATTAAACCAACATCTGGTGTGTTCGTTTTCTCAAGTTGGTTGGGTACTACCATCGTCATGGGATCCTGTTATTAATATAATAAAATCAAATAATAAATCTAAACATAACAGACAGGTAGATGTAGTAAGTGTGTGGATCAAAATGACAGCATATCAGATTAATATTTTTCACTTTTTATTTGTAAAAGTATAGTAATAATGTAGCATCGTAAATTGTCTTTTTAAATAATAGCAAACTAAATTAAAATTATTATTCTTAATTAATTTTAACTTTTTTGAATTACACATAAATAATTATTATTATATTTTATATTTTTTCTTTATGGTTATAAACATAATAATGGCAACACTAAATGTAGATTACTAATTAATATCTTTAAAATTGTAATTATTATAATGATAACAGCAAAAATTAAATAAATAATATTCCATATTCAATTATAAAACTAATTAAAATTATGAAAAGGTAATTGGTGCAATTTTTCATTTTGTTATTTGTGGGTAGGCTGTCTGTAACAACTATACCTTCGAGACATCTAACACCTCAGTCTCTCCCGTGACCAGGGATGCTGTAAAGCATTGGAAACGTCGGGAACCAAAAATCAAAATATCTGCGAAATAATCCGAAAAGATAGTTTTATTTAGAACCGTTTTTTTTAATGGTCGTTACTTTTCGTGACGTTACAGTAAGAGAATTTATACATTATACATACTCTCTAATATTTGGACTTTGGCAACACTCTACGCTGTGAAAAAAAGTGCGGTCACGGTTCACGTTTCTGGTTTAAATGAAAATAGAAAGAATCTGGTACAGTTATACATATAAATATTCATAAAATAAGAATGGAAAGTATATAATGATAAGTTTTTTTCATTACATATATTAAGTATTTATTTTTCGGGGTTTCAAATTGGTCAATTTTAATAGAACCTTCACATCTCTTCTTTAATTTGTTTAAAACACTCTTATAACTAAACTTTATGATATAACTTTTGTTCACAGAATACCCTCGCAATTTTGGACAAATTGGACATCGACAGTGAAAAACCTTCCGAGGAGGAAATTGCGAGGATCTTCGGTTATGAGGAAGCCTACCTTGCAGGGGACCTGGGCATTTGGCAAAGAGTTAAACCCAAAATTTGGGCATTATTCGACGAACCATCAAGTTCACCAGCTGCAAAGGTAAAGTTAAAATCTATATTATAATAACAATTATTTTTTCTCTCTAAATCTCTTAATTCTAATATTAATAATGCGTAAAAAAAGTATGCGTTTATTGCATCTCCACGCTGTGACGGTTCACTAAATTTTGGAATATGGATAGTTTATAATATATTATATTTTTTAATAATAATAAATCACTAGCACAAATCATTTTAATCAAACATGTCTCTTTCCTTGAAAAGAATAAACCAACATTATTGTAAAAAATCATCGCATACAGAAATTGAGATAACAGGTTATTAAGATGGCATTGTAGTGTGATGAATGTTAATTTATTTAATTATTGTTATACCGAACAATATTTTTCGGTATAGAAGTACAAAGATTTCAATCTTCTATATGATCAATTTAGTCAAATCCCACTGTTCAACATTCAGTAATTAAGTATCCAACTATTTTGGAAAACAGAAAAAGCAAAGTAAATTTTAGGTAAACATTTAAAAAGGAATTTTCTAAAGCCGGTTCTTTAATTCTAGAAAGACATTCAGGCTAATATCGTTAGCATATTTCTAACAAGTTCGCCAAAAAGGCACAACATCCACAGCCAACTCGTTTATAATACATGATAAGGCATCCTGCCAATTTTCAGATGTTTTCTAACAGCTACTTAAGCTTAAAAATGGTCTGCGAAAAATTGTCTTTCGAGTAAAAAGTTAAAAATCACCTGATTCCATACTTTATAAATTATATGCGAATAGAGGTACCTATTTCTTGTGTCTGTTAAATGAACCGATCTTTTCTGATTCTTTTGGGGATTTATTTTTGATTTTTGGTTTCCGTCGTTTCGTATCGTGGATTTAAATTTTGAATTTGAAAAAAAATATTGTAAACAAACATTTTCATAAAATTACTTGGGTTAACATTTAGGATATCTTTTACTTACGACAAAGTTGTATAAATAAATAAATGTTGGGACATTAACACACTGCACAGTCTAGTTCCATGGTAAGGTACGAGGGTTGGTGTTATGGATACCAGATAGTTAATACACTACACATATATAAATTTAAATACATACATACATATATATTACAAATATAAACACCCATGACTGGAGTACAAACATTCGTGCTCATACGAATGAATGCCCCCAGCGGGACTCGAACCCGCGACCGCTGACACAGCAAGTAGGATCACTACAAATTGAGTCAAACGTATCGTCGAATAGATAGATACTCTCACAAATCTATATTGGGAAGCGAGGGTAAGTCCCTAGTGATATAATATTAATAAAAAAATAAATAGCAAGTTATTTACATATACTGTTCAAACTCTCTTCATAACTCAATCATTGTTATCTCGCAGACATTCTCAATGCGTTAAATATTTACTTTGAATTCAGTTAACTCCAATAACTGTGAATACACCACGAAGCTTGTATTTGATACGAGTGTGACGCAGGAGATGTAATGGCGAGTGTACATTCAATTTACGTTCATTTACAAGGTAGTGATCTATCATGCAAAATTTGTTTAGTAAACAGAATTTAACTAAAAGAAAAGCACAATGACTGGTTCAGCCAAGTTGTCTTATATACAAAAACTAGAGTTTTCCTGCGGCTTCTCCCGCATAGTGTATTAATCACCAACATATTATATACTAAAACCTTTTACGAAACACGCTGCATCTTATGGTACGAGTATTATTCCGATCGGTTCAGTAGTTATCGCAGTATAACCGAACAAAAAAATCGGCTCTCCTTTTATTAGTATAGATTTCAATGATTTATTACACGACATTATTAATAGCAGAGTTAAAAGTTAACATATTTAACAAAAAAGTCCTTTACATCTCTATATGTGAAGATAATGTTGCCACTTTTTACTATTTTTGAGGGAAAAAATCTTTATTTAACAATACTTATGTCGTTATAGCAATAAGCGGATAAAATTTCAGGCATTTAGGTCTAGTGATTTTGTCATAAAGCTGTCATATCAAACAAGATAAGCAATTTATACTATTAGTTTTTGCCCATGGCTCCACTTATATAGTTTAATATTATATATAAATCCTCAGTCAGGTCTGATAAACATAGCATAAAAACGTAAAATTTTCATGAATTTTGGTACAGGAATAGATGAATCCTTGGTGAACGACATAGTTTCATTTTTGCCGCAAAAATAAAATTTTAAGAGGGTGAAATAGGGGTTGAAAGTTTGAATTGGGGATAAATCATTTTTAAGTTTAAAATAACATAAAAATCGTTGTACCCTATAATTTTGGTAAGAAATAGTGTTATTGAACAATCAAGGTAAAATTGGGGATGATTATAATTTTTTTTAAATACTAACCTACTTTTCTATACCTATATCCATAGATATAGTCTATTCTATACTACGTCGACGTACCTAGGAACGAACCGAAGCGAACCGATGGTAAAACGCTATTAAATAAAACGCTAGTTATAAGTGAATCAGATATCGTTCCGGAGATTAGCGCGTTCAAACAAATAATACAACACACCCTGAAGCTTTATATATTAGTTAAATTTTCATAACTAAATGAGTGTTAGTTCTAGGCATTTTGAAGATTAAATGAAAATTTTAGTTTTTAAGTTATATATAACATAACTCATATAACTACTTACAGTTTTTATTGATATTTTTTCGCCACGCCGTTTCAATATAAACAAATAAGAAAAATATAGATTTTCTGCTTTTATTTCCATGATTGCAAAATTAAAAAATAGCCTATGGAAAACTATTATAAATATTTATTTTGAAACTAATAGTCCATTCAGTCTATACACACCGTAACATGAAAAGCTCGCGTAAATTATTCACAAAAACCAATTCGGATTCTTGACTGCCGCTCGGCTTAAATCGAAGCTTTTGAAATTTACCGAATATTTATGGTATTTCTATTTTGTAAGGGAATGTGAATGAGCTTTTTTTAAATAAATCGAATAATTTCAAACGCTTTTTTATAGCTTAAAACCACTTTACTATAATAATAATGAATTAAAAAACAAAACAAAAACAAATTAAGCTCAACCTAAAACTATATTTGCTTGTACAGTAATTGAAATTAAATCATCATATTCCACCCCTATTGATGAATTCTATATTTACAGAATTAATTAGAGAAAAATCAATAATTTGGTCCACATCACATTCGAAACATAATCATGAACGTTATTTAAAAGAGGAACACAAATACACATAATATACAAATAGAATCTATACAACTATCTATCCAATTGCTGTTCGTTAGTCTCGCTAAAACTCAAAAACGGCTGTACCGATTTGAATCATTTTTTCATTTTTTTTGTTTTGTTGGGGGCGTGTTAAGTTCAGGGGTGGTTTAAGTATAAAAAAAGTTTTTTTTTATATTTTATCCACCCCTGAACTGCTGCTTTTTTTAGCTGTTGCTAAAAAATCGAAAATATCAGAACGCTACATTGTACCTATTTATATGTTAGTCTATTTGTTCCATACTAACTGTTAAAACATACCTCAGGATGAACTCGAGCGAAGCGAGGGGTAATAGCTAGCACTGTATTATAATAAAAAAACAAACTAAAAAGAAAATCGGTTGACAAACAGAGGAAAAAAAGGCGCCGAAATGTTCAGTCTTTGCCAATTTATGTATCTATATTATATAACTTTAATAATTATCTCACAAATATTATAATTCCGAAGGAATTCTGGAACTTATTACTTATACAATTAATCAATTTATAAAAACCTTTCAAAAATGGTCTTATAAGGCACCTTATTATTTGTATTGTCTGCATACTTTGTTTTTTTTACTCTTAAAGATATAGTTTACTTTTGTTAGTAGGTACTATCGAACATCTTGATGATTATTTAACTAAAATGATTATTGCTGACTAGTGTCTGTCATTTTGTATTAACTGTTAATTTCAACAGATATATTATATTTGAACATAAAAAAGCATTTGTATGTTTGTACCAACTTATCTCATAAATATCTGAGACAATTTTAAAGCGATTTTCTACTAGTGGGTTTAGTATTTGGGAGAAAATGATATAGATCATGTTTTAACTCGAGGAAGAAAAAGGTTACAGAGGACTAGATGATAGAAGAGGAAAGGCTGACCGATAATGCTTAAACTTTAGCATTTTAACTTTGCTTAATTTAATTGTTAAACGAGCAAAGTCGTTAGCAATAGCTAGTTTTATAAATAATTGCTATTCACCCCTTTTAACGTCCCACTGCTTGGCACGGACCACCCTTCAATACGAGGGGGGTCAGCCCATAGACCACCACGCTGGCCAAGTGCGGGTTGGAGGACTTCACATGTCTTTTGAAAACTTGCTAGGTTCTCTCAAACATGCAGGTTTCACGATGTTTTCCTTCACCGTAAGACAAGTGGTAATCGTGTTAAAAATGATTCGCACATGAATATATCATACGTGCGATACCCGGGATTTGAACCCGCTTTACTCGGTTACCCAATCGAGTACTAGGATACCACTGCCTTATTAATAATTATACAGTTATATTTACAAACTAGCATTGCCCGCGGCTCCGCCCTCGTTCCGATGACCAAAAACCAAATTCTTAGGTTTTACATATTAGTATACTCTTACATTACATTTCTTGCATTTTTTCTCAGAAATGAGATATTTTTCGCAGTAAAAAGTATCCTATATGTTGACCCGGATAATCAGTTATGGCCATACCAAATTTTATCAAAATCCGTCTAGTAGTTTTTCTGTGAAGCGGTAACAGACAGACAGACAAAAAAAATCTAAAAACTATAGATTCCGCCTCTGTATCGATAATAATGTCTATTTCAATAAGATTTTCCAAAAAATATTTAATGTACAGATTCGTGTTAGTTAGAATTTTATTATATGTATAGTTTATAAATATCTCATGTGCAAGTTTATTTATAGATATGTCAATTTAATATGCGAGACCGTTCACGTGTACGCATATGAATCAACTCTGAACGCAATGTACTAGTTGAATAATTTATCATTGCCAAT